CCCGCCAAATTAACGAACAAACTAATTCTATTGGTTCAAAAAATACGCTGATTAAACAAAATTAAGGAAATTAAGCAAGATTAAGGAAAACCTGACCTGACCTTATAGGTCAGGTCAGGTTTTCCTGCTACTGGTAACATGTAACCCAGTACAACCTGCTCCATGTCCTGCTGCCTTGTAGGATACGCTTTTTTAGGCAAAGGCTAGGAGAAGTTAACTCCGAATTAAAACACCCCCTGCCTTGGGGCTCTTGGTTGAGTAAAGGCTAGAGATGGTGTCTCGATAAAAATACTCATCTTGGGCAGATGTTACATGCATCCAGCTGCTGTCTTGTAGAAGGCCTCCTAGGCAAAGACTTAAGGGGTAAACAGATTCTATCTGTTGACCAGCCTCGCACCCCTTCCTCATCTATTAGGCTGGCGCAGATGTATTTTTAATACATTGTTTCCAGTTTAGGATGTTGAACGCTGGATCTTCTTGACTCAATGCGTGGGTATTGCTTGTGTCTCTATTTTTATGACTGGGCAACTCATTCTATTATCTCCTAATGAGGGTACAGCTCTAAAACTCAGTTTTATGGTTCTGAGGCCGGCTGGTAGTCAGGTTTCCCGAACTCTGTGGTAGCTCTCAGAGAGGCTGATTCCATCAACAGCCGAAAAATATCAGAGTACTAACAGTGCCATGTTGCGCATGGATGGTGTCCCTGTTTGTACTTTTGGTGTGCATTGCAGAGGCCACATTTGGAGCCCTTTGTTACGGCTTAGGGTTTATTAATAGTAATGAGGCTATTGCTTAGTTGTTAAATAGTGTACTGAGTACTATCTATACTTGAGTCAAGTTCTTTATAAATTTAAAATGACTAAAGTACCTAAAACTAAAAAACACAAAAAACCATCATCATCACCAAGTTCTCTAAACCTATCATTTACTAATATTCGTGGTCTTCGAAGTAACTTTTCTTCTGTTGAGTCTTATCTCTTGCAAAGTTCACCAGACCTACTTGCTCTTTGTGAGACTAATTTGAGTTCGGCTGTCCCATCTTGGGATCTTAGTGTTGATGGTTATCTTCCTTTAATTCGTAAAGACTCCAATAATCACATGCTTGGCCTGGGCATCTACATTCGTAAGAACTCACCCATTTGTCGTGAAACTAGGTTTGAATCTACAGACTATTCATTTATGTGCATTCGTTTAGCACAACTTCACTCTATCGCCTTTCTCTTTGTTCTATATCGCTCTCCTTCATCCCAAGACTGCACTATTCTTGATGTTATTTCTGATCAAATTGACCAAGCCCTCTCTCTTTATCCATCGGCCAATATCGTCGTTGTTGGTGACTTTAATGCCCATCACACCGATTGGCTTGGCTCTAGTGTCAGTGACTCTGCTGGCGTTAAGGCCCTCAACTTTTGCCTTTCTCAATCTCTAACTCAAATAGTCAACTTTCCAACTCGTTTTCCAGACAACCCTAATCATTTACCTTCTCTACTCGACTTATGTCTTGTTTTGGATCCTAGTCAGTGCTCAATTTCTCCACATTCACCCTTAGGTACTTCTGATCACGGTTTGATCTCTCTAAAACTATTATCAAATTCTTCTACTTCATCAGAATCCCCCCATCATCGTACCACATACAACTACCTTAAAGCTGACTGGGACTCTTTCCGTGATTTTCTTCGTGATGGCCCTTGGGTAGAAATCTTTCGTCTTCCTGCTGACAAATGTGCTTCTTACATAACTTCGTGGATTCAGGCTGGCATGGAATCTTTTATTCCCTCTCGACGATTCCAGGTCAAACCTCACTCTTCTCCTTGGTTTTCCCCACATTGCGCTGCAGCAATTTCTAATCGAAACCGTTACTTCCATATCTATCAGCAAAACAATTCTCCAGAAAACAGACATCTGTTCACTATCGCCAGAAACCATTGTAAAAAGGTTTTGTCTGACGCCAAAGCTCGCTATTCCCAGGTCATTAAATCTCGTATCTCATCACAAAAATTAGGCTCTCGAGACTTCTGGAGAATCTTTAACAGTATCAATAATAAGGGCAAATCTGTTATTCCTTCTCTCTTGTATGGTTCAGACTTTGTCACCTCACCTAAAGACAAAGCTGAATTGTTTGCTAAGAACTTTTCATCAATATCATCTCTTGATTCCACTAGTTGCGTTTTACCTGACATAGCCGTCAAACAGGTTGATCCCTTGCTTGACATTCGCATCACTTCAGCTTCTGTATCTAAAGTAATTTCCTGCTTAGACTCTTCAACAGCTTGTGGTCCTGACAACATTCCTGTTGTAGTTTTGCAGAGGTGTTCTCCGGAGCTTTCATCCATACTTTCTAAACTATTTAACAAGTGCTTATCAGAGTCTTGTTTTCCATCATGCTGGAAAGCAGCATCTGTTATCCCTATTTTCAAAAATTCTGGAGAGCGATCTGATTCATCTAACTACCGTCCCATTAGTCTTCTTCCTGTCATAAGCAAGGTTTTTGAATCTTTAATCAACAAACACTTAATCTCTCATCTTGAATCAAATAACTTACTTTCTGATCATCAATATGGATTTCGGTCTTCTCGTTCTACAGCTGATGTGCTAACAGTAATAACCGATAGGTTTTACCGTGCATTAGATAGAGGTGGAGAGGTTAAGGCTATCGCACTTGACATTTCTAAAGCTTTTGATAAAGTTTGGCATACTGGTCTTCTCCATAAGCTTTCTTCTTATGGTGTAGCTGGTAACGTCTTTAAGATTATTGAGTCCTTTCTTTCCAATCGTAGTATAAAAGTTGTCCTCGATGGACAACACTCTTCTTCACATCCTGTAACTTCAGGGGTTCCTCAAGGTTCAATCCTTGGCCCTATACTCTTTTTAATTTACATTAACGATCTTCCAGATATTCTCACATCTAAGGTGGCATTATTCGCTGACGACACTACCATTTACTCTTGTCATGATAAGAAGCCTACACTCTCTGATTGCTTGGAGGGGGTATCTGAGCTTGAAAAGGATCTCACTTCTGCTACAGCATGGGGCTCACAGTGGCTGGTGAACTTTAATTCAGATAAAACTCAATTTTATTTGGCCAATCGTTATCGTAATAATTTAGATCTTCCTATATTTATGAATGGTAATGTACTAGATGAGTCATCTACCATTCATCTTCTAGGATTAACTCTTACTTCTGATCTTTCTTTTAAACCGTATATCAAATCCATTGCAAAATTAGCATCTGCTAAGGTTGCATCTCTTTATCGAGCTCGACACTTTCTTACTCCAGATTCTATTCTCTATCTCTATAAATCTCAAATCCGTCCCTGTATGGAATACTGTTGCCACATCTGGGGCGGATCTTCTAATGATGCTCTTTCTCTTTTAGACAAGGTGCAAAAACGAATTGTAAACATAGTTGGACCTGCTCTTGCAGCCAATCTCCAACCTTTGTCACATCGTCGTAATGTTGCTTCTCTTTCTCTTTTCTACAAATACTATAATGGGCACTGCTCTAAAGAGCTAGCGTCCCTTGTGCCATCTACTAAAATTCACTCTCGTGTTACTCGCCATTCAATTAAGTCTCATCCTTTTTCTGTGACTGTTCCTAAGTGCTTCAAAAACTCTTATTCTTCTAGTTTTTTTCCTCGAACATCAGTTCTTTGGAATTCGCTTCCTTCATCTTGCTTTCCTGATTCATATAATTTGCAATCTTTTAAGTCATCAGTCAATCGTTATCTTGCTCTACAGATTTAGTCTTTTCTCTTCCAGTAACTTCCAACTCTTATAGTGGTTGCTTGCAGCCTTGTTGGAAGTGAAGATGTTAAAAAAAAAAAAAAAAAAAAAAAAAAAAAAAAATAAAGTTCTAGAGTATTCTGTTGAAATGTTTCAATTCACGATTTGTTACGTTTTGAGATTTCTAGCATAAATTGTTTTAAAAATATTTATTTGTTTACAAAAATAAATGTTTTAAATATATATTAAGTTGTCAAAATTTTAAAAGTTTATTATAAATCATAGATTTTATTAGTATATTCTTATTTTTTATTTTAAAAGAGATTGTATTCTTTATGTAAATGTAATTTTGTGTATTTGTTTTTTATCATAATGTATCTTTTAAAGCAATTTTCATGATTTAAACAAAGACTTACAAAAATAATTGCGTTTTCAATGAAGTTATAATCGTTAAAGTTAATAAAACTAATTATGTAACAAACATATAAGAAGTTTCTGGTTACTAAACACAAACAACGCATACAAAGTAACTCGCGGATGAACAAGCATCGCGCCTGAGGTCACGACAAAACACAAATATATATAGCAAATTATTAGATTTAAAGAAAAGTTTCTAGATATAGGTTTACTAACTCTAATTATTTTCGCTTAAATTGCCATTCTTAAAACTCGTTATACTTTTTGCTGCTTTAAATACTTATTAAAATTAAAAAGCCCACTCACTAAACATCATCAGCGATATTGTGAAGCAGTTTCGCTTCCTGGTCATTAAGTATTTTTAACCTTTTTAGTTGATTTCTATCTTGATAATTTAATTCCTATAGAAATTCAATGATTTAATTATTTCATTTGTTAATCTTACTAAGAAGAATCGCTTCAAATATGTTAAACTTTTCAAACTACGCGAAACATAAAATAGGTATTAAAAAAATTAACTTTTTTATTTATAAAATAATTTAGATTAAGTAAAACTAAAACTTGCAAACTTAGTTAAATAAAGAATATTTATTTCCCTTTTAAACAATCGTAAGTTGTTACTTTATATAAAAAACATCGCATAATTTTATTTTTTTTGTAATTGTCTCTCATCGGTCCAATTAATCTTCGTCACTTTTTTTTTTTTGCTTTTTAAAATGTTCTCAAAACGACTAAAAATCTGGCCAGCTTTTTGCAACTAAATATTATTTACGTGGTCAGCAATCGAGAGCGATCGCTCCCGCTTCCTGACCAAGCCTCTATATATATATATATATATATACTATATATATATATATATATATATATATATATATATATATATATATATATATATATATATATATATATATATATATATATATATATATATATATATATATATATATATATATATATATATATTAGAAGTTAGGAAGTTAGTTAGAAAGTCTTAAGTTAGACAATTTAAATGTTGGAAACTAGTTTTTATTCTAACATGTTCAACATGTCACTTCAAAAACTAGTTTGCACAAGTTTGCAACATGTATTCTACAATTTTCAACATGATGTTGCAACCTTAAAAACTATTATCAATAGGGATGACTATGAACACTTTTTAAATATTTTTGCATCATAGAAGAAAACATATTTATCATGTAGCAAATATCTTAATTTTCAACTTATATGATCATATTCTTTTTTTTAAAATGAGGTCAAAATTTATGATTAGCTGATTTGGGGTGACATTCTTAAGAATATCTAAAATAGATTGGTTAAGAGCCATTATGGTGTCTTCACTTTATTTTTTACTTTTATTTTTACTTTATTTTTAACCATAGGTTCTTTATTTTTTACTAGAAGACATTTTATCACCTCATTTTTGCAACTGAATAAAAGAAATACAATATATAACTCTATTGTATGTGTTTCTATACCTTTTAGTAAACTTGGTACTGATGTTCATTTTCACCCCACTGTATATAATCATCCCCGTTGACAGTATATGTTATAAACTTGTAGCAGATATAAAACTTTTAAAACCAGTAGAATAGACAGATGAGCATGAGTATCATTTTCACCAACAAACTTTGTCCTTGTGAAGCGCATACAAGTTTCCAACAAATTCTCTCATTGAATTAGCGAACATGTTGCAAACTTGCATACACATAACATATGTTTTTATGGTTGTATGCACTTCACAAGGACAAGTCTACAGTCTTTTATAAGGTTAAAACCCTCTATCAATAACTATATCTATAACTCAGAAATAAGACTGCTGTGCAGAGAAACAAGTTGAGCGGGACATGGTAAGATTACTACCAGGGACATGATAAAGATTGAACTTGGAATCTCAGACTTATGAAGTGAGTACTCTATCACTGCACCACTACTGCATCAAAGTAGTATAGTTTACTAAAGTCAAGTAAACAATTGCGTATTTTTTTGCCTGACAACTTTCCAATTCCAGACTGTGAATAAAATTTAACAATTTTATATTTAGTGCTCTGTTTGTAACTTTGTACTGAATTTAGCAGTTTATAACATAAACTTTACAAAATAAAGATCAATTACCAAATTAAAATTTTTTGTACATATAGGCATAGGGAACTTTTTTGAACATATAGGCATTTGTGAGGAGAGAAAAGATATTAGATAACTTGTAATCTCTTGTACTTTAAAATTTAGTCAATAGAATAATTTTTATTTCCTTTATAAATATTTAACTATTTTGCCCTAATTAATGAATTTTTTAATACATATTTCAATAATATTTTTTATTGATACAAATAATATTTTTTATTGATACAAAGGTCTGACCTTAAAATATAGATCGGCAGTTAGGTTGTTAAATGCCGACCCTAATTCCGAGGGTTGTATGTATGTATGTATGTATGTATGTATGTATGTATGTATGTATGTATGTATGTATGTATGTATGTATGTATGTATGTATGTATATATATATATATGTTATAAGTTATAAATATATATTATGTAGCCACAATGCTAAAGTGCAGGCTTTCAGTTTTAATAATGAAGTTAAAAGATTGAATAAGTATAATTCTTGTTCCGGCCGGAATTTTATTAACCATTCCGGCAAATCCGGTTCCGACCGGAATACAAAAATTCTGATCCATACACCCCTAATATAAATACAGTGAGTATTCAAACGAGAATTTAAGATTTATAGTATAAAAGTTGCAATTTATTATTTACGCATTTTTAGGAGTTAAAATCTGATTTATCAATTGTAAACTATAATATCTTTAAAAAAAGCCAAATAAAATTTTGTTTTTTTGTTTTTTTTTAAGGTGATTTTATATATGTTGATAGTAACATTATTATAGTTTGAAGTAATAATATTAGTTTAGAGAAGTTAAGTAACCTTCCTTTTTAGTTCATCATCAAGTCTTTGAACTTCAATGTTTTTCAAATTGCGTTGATATTGCAGAAACTTTCTACGAACAATATCATGTGATTCTAACTCGCGGAGAGCTAACTCTCTTCTAACAGCAAACAATCTGAAATAGCAAAAATATGTAAAACAAAATTTAAAAAAAAACACAAATGCTAACTCTTTACTATAATCAAAACAATTGTTTGTATAATCAAAACAAAATACATTGTTTGAATAATCAAGAAAAAAATACATTGTTTGATAATGATCTATAAATCCACAAATAACCTACACTAATATTATAATGTAAACTATATTGAATAATATTAAAATAATATATCATCAAAATTATAACTATACCCAAAATTATAACTATATTATTATAATTATTTAAAATAAAATAATACAATTATTAGAGAGCTTTTTTTCTTCTTTTTTTACCTCTTTCCACAAGGTTTATAAAAAGTAGTTTACAATAATAAACTAAGGTTCGATAAAAACTACATGAATTATTACATAGCACACACTAAACAACAAAAAAGCACCATTTTTATGCCTAGAAGAGGAAATATTAAACCAGGGCTCAAATCCCAATTATAAACTGCAATGCTTCATAATTTAAAGAACAATTTTAAACATGTAATACATTTTAAAAAATAAAGAATTTTTTTCAAATAATATTAGCTTTTAGAAAAATTTAAGTTCTGCTTAACAAGTAAAAAATTTTCTGAAATTGAGTCCTGCTAAAAACTTTTTATAGTAATTTTATTTATTCATAAAAAATACTTTTTACGCTTTTCTGCCAATTTATTTTCTTCTTTAATGATCAGTTCTCGTCTTTGTTGTTCAGCCTTTAATAGTTGGTCTTGCTCTCGATAAAATGCTACCTCTTCTTTGTTTGTCAGCTCTTTTTGTTTTTTGAACTCAAAAGTCAGCTGCCTGAATTTATAAAAAAAACCCTGCAATAAAATAGATTACTTTGCAATAAAATAGATTACTGTGCAATAAAATAGATTGCTGTGCAATAAAATAGATTGCTGTGCAATAAAATAGATTACTGTGCAATAAAATAGATCACTGTGCAATAAAATAGATTGCTGTGCAATAAAATAGATTACTGTGCAATAAAATAGATTGCTGTGCAATAAAATAGATTACTGTGCAATAAAATAGATTACTGTGCAATAAAATAGATTGCTGTGCAATAAAATAGATTGCTGTGCAATAAAATAGATAAATATGCAATAAAATAGATTACTGTGCAATAAAATAGATTGCAGTGCAACAAAATAGATTACTGTGCAAAAAAGATGCTTTATAAAAGATCAAGTTTTTTAAAAAGTTTTCACTTGCTTTTGTCTTAGATATTCAAGTTCTTCATCTCTAATTCTTTCTCTTTCTTCAACCTTAATGAACAAAAATAAACAAAAAACAAAACTACAAATGAGCAAAAGCAAAAACAAAAAATAATAAACAAAAAAAAAAGTGACTGAAACCCACTAAAGTCAAAGAAAAACCAAAGACATTTAAATTATTTAAATGAAACAAAGACATACAAGATAATCTACAACAAATGAAGGATAGCAATCAAATATTGGGTATTGTCCATCAGTTAAAGGAATAAAATCCTGAAGCATTTTTTTGGGATCAAGGTGGTCTGGTGTAGAGGTTGATAATCGGTAAGTTTCTTTGATTACTAAGGTAATGTCAACAGCATTATGATGATGAAAATAAAACTGAAAAAAACATAAGTAATTAATAAAAAAATATAATAATATTTATAAATACTAAAATAATCTTTTTATTTCATACTACATTAATTTTAATATATATTAAACATTTTTATATATTAAATATTTAAGACATTTTAATATATATTTACATAATTTAAATATATATTACTGATAATTTAAATTAAAAATTTAAATATCTCACTTCAACATCTTCTTTCAATTTTGTTGAAAACAAAGACTGTCTTGATTGAATAAGATATGCCACTGCAAAATATAACATAAAAGCAGGATGATTGGAAAACAAGTTATCCCAAACTACAAGCCATTCATCTTTTGTCATTATTTCTGAGAAGAGTGTGTATAGCATTGGCCATGCATAAAGCTAAAAAATAAAATCTGTTCAAGCCAGTATAAAAACTTTGTACACTTCCTCTAATTACAATTTAAATATATATATATTTGCATATTTTAACATTAACATTTTTTAATTGATAATTCCTATAAATCATTATTGCGTGAAGTACTTAAAACAAAAGAAAAAAATTATTAAAAAAAAAGCATTAATTTCTTTAGTAGTAATTAATTAACCTCAGATCAATATTAACTTTATCAAAATCCTTCAACAATACCGTATAAATTCTTCAAATTATCTTGTTATCTTAAACCCACTACTAAGTCACTACTTTAACAATTCCAGATATAATATTCTGATATTGTATTAATCGGAAAGCAAATCATTGATTAATAATGAAAAGAGCTATGAACCAAATTCAAAACTATTTTGGAACACCAATCAGCATCTTTAGCCTTTTGAATTTTGTATTGCTGATTATAATAAGCTTTCAATTTGATAAATATGCTTCTAATCAAATTATGCATTTATTTGCTATACCATAACCACTTAATTTTAGTGTTAATCTCTTATGAGGTATACTAAACTATATAGACTAGCATGCCAGTCCTTAACAAACAACTTTAATATGTTAAGCGGAGTAGTTATTGCCTCACTGGTCCCTAAAATGCATATTAGAACTTTACTATGATAACGGTAAACAAATCAGTAGTAGAACAAAATAATTGAAATCTGTATTGATTTTCAGAGAGTAATTTGAAAGACTCAAAATGAGATATTAGAAGATTGGTTATTAAAGAAACAAAGACTTAAGAGGAGTCAGGCCATTCTCTTTTTTATAAACTGCAATCGCAGATGCTATTTTTCAGCTGCCAAGAAAACAAGATTCAGTTTCAGGCGCTTCTTAAACAGTTAAGATACTAAATAAAGTTTTTAAAAATAATTTGTAAAACTATAATGAAAATGTCCAGATCACAAGCTAATAAAGAGTTGCAAAAAACAACTTTAGGAAGCTTAAGTGAATTGTCTAACAATGGATTAACCTGTTTCTCTGGTATAACACAAAGGATTTGGTCACTAGAACCAAAAGATGAATTAAAGAAAAAATTGATCAGAAAATACATTGAAAAAAATCCAGTGATGGAGTGAAGCGGTGCCAAATGAAAATATAAAAAAAATCAGTAGATTTAAATTGATTTTTACAATAAATAGGTGAACTGCTAAATGTTCAGGCTAAATATATAAGTATATATGCAGACCAAGCATTGAAGCTTTGGCAAATCAAAGGATAATAGCAATCAACACTTAAATAAAAAACTGAATTTAAACAAGTTTTAAAAAGCGAAAGTAGGTGTGCTGAAGTTTGCAATATTTAACAGATAAAAAGACTAAAAAAGTTACTTTGATGACCATGAATATTTGTAAAGGATAAGTTGAAACAATTTTTTAATAATTACGTTTTTTTATGCATATTTCAAGGTACTTTACTCATGTTTTAAATTATTACAAAAAAATGACTCACCCTCACCGCTGACCAGATCAGTCTCTTTGAGAGCTATCACAGAGTTTATAAATCTTATTAGAAGCAGCCTCAAAACCACTAAATAGAGTTTTAGAGCTGTACCCTCATGGCCACTATCAAAGAGTTACAAGCAAAAACCTATAAGCAGAGTCAATAAGATTCAGTTTCCATCATCTTAAGCCGGAAAAAATTTAAAATAAATTTTCTGCTAGCCTTTTAGATGAAGAATCTGTACAAAGCTGGTCAACAGAAATTTTTTGCTTACCTCTTAAGTTTTGCTTAAAAGGCTTTCTACAAGTCATTAGTCAAAATTTGACATCTGCCTAAGATGAGTATTTTTATTAAGAAACCATCTCTAGCCTTTAATCTAAAGTTCAAAGCAGGGAGTGTTTAAAGTCAGATTTAATTTCTCCTAACATTTGTTTAAAAAAGTGAGTACTAGAATCAATATAATTTTTTTGCAATAAGAGAAAAAAAAACAAATCATGAAAAAAACTTATTGTTGTCCTAGCCCTAACTCTACATATATCCAATGTATCCACTGAAACCTCAAGGCTCCCTAAATCAATATGACCTCAGATGACCTATATAATGTCCTTAATGTTATATATAAATGTATCAGGGATATAAAGATCAGAGGCGCTGATCTAGAACAATGAAATAAACTGAAATTCAATCTTCTTATAATTTATGTCTATATTTGAAATATTTTTACAGAATAAACCAACATTTGGTTGATATTTTTTTCTATGGTAACTTCTTTTAATAAACATTTTATTATACTCATAACAACATAAGATTTGGGAAATATAAATGCATTTTATGTAAATAAGAATATCTCATGTGTTCAAAAATGTTTGTCTTTGTTTTATAAAAATTTATTCATAAAAAAACTTTGGCATCAAAATCAATGTTATTTTAAAAATACAATCTAAAATAAATACGGTAAAGTAAAAACTTTATATGTGTTGTAGATCATATCACAGATCAAGTTGAACTAGAGATTATTTGCAATAATGAAATTTTACTCTTAAGGATTTAACTTTGAAAATATTTCTCAATTTTGACAGAAATAGAATTTTTTTTTGTCTAAGTAGAGTTATTGATAAGTTTATGACTTATATAAATGAAAAACTTTTTGTTATGTAGATATATAGGAATTATATAGGGGATAATAAATGTTTAGAATTAAAAAAAAAAACAGTATAGTATATTAATTATAATACTTTACACAATCAAATTGTTTTTAATTTAACACAGTCGTCATTTATTTGTATAATCAAATAAAAGTATTTCTATGTAACGTAGCTGTTACCTATCGTTTTGCTATTGTTTTTTATAACAATTGATAGCATGGATATCTTGGCTTTTAAACAATTCGTTAAACATCTATTTATTCTTAGTTAAAGTCTTTATTAAAAAAATTTATAGTTATTGTTTTAACTTTGTTAAAACAATAACTGGCGGTGATTTGTTGATTTTTGTTTTTAACTTAAAAATACATAGGAGAGTTAAATATATATTCTATTTAAATGAAATTTTTATTCTTGTTTTATCTTTTTTAATCTTCTTTAACTTTAATCACTATTTTAATAAGTTTTAAATTCAAAAAATTATTTTTTCATTCTTTTTCTTAATAAATCATGAGATTCTTTAACAACAAGGTTGTTACCAAACCAATTGTACAGAGGTATACATCATTTTTCTTTTAACTATATTAAACCATGTACATTTGATGTTGCTTGTTTAGTTAGTCATTTACTATTGTTATGAGGCAACTTTTATGTTAAAAACTTTTGATTTTAATATTCTACCTAGTAAAAGGTAAACTATTTTGTATTACTTTTTTAATTTTTATTAAGTTACTTTTTTATTTAATTATTACTTTTAAAAACTTTTCGCATAAAAAGATTAAGATTTGTTTATATTTTTACATTTGTTTATATTTTTACATTTGTTTATATTTTTATATTTGTTTATATTTTTACATTTGTTTATATTTTTATATTTGTTTATATTTTTACATTTGTTTATATTTTTATATTTGTTTATATTTTTACATTTGTTTATATATTTACATTTGTTTATATATTTTTACATTTGTTTATATATTTTTACATTTGTTTATATTTTTACATTTGTTTATATTTTTACATTTGTTTATATTTTTACATTTGTTTATATTTTGTCAAAAAAGTTAAGGTTTCTTTTCCACATTTCTTTAATGTTTAAAAATTTTAATATATGTCTATTTCTCTTATCTTGATTTATAAAAGAATTTTTTTTTCGAAATTTCAAAATTTCGAATTTTTAAGAACAAGATTTATTTGGGAAGAAATATTTTTTGATATTAGTATAGGATATGGGTAGAGACATGAGTTGTTTTTATTTAAATACAAGAGCCAAAATGCAACTCTTTAAATATTAAATATTTTATTATGCAGAACACTAATAAGGTTGCAGAGCATAACTTTTAATCAATGATTACATGTTTAAAGAATCTGTTAACTCTGTAAATAAAAGTTTTTTTGTACTTTCAACTAGAATTATGATATTAATTTGTTAATTTGTTAAATCTTATAAAAAAACAAACAAACTTACTTGCGTAGAAACATCAAGCTTAATAAAATGATTGAGTAAAGATGGATCATGATAACCAAGCATTGTCTCAACAATGTTTAGAATGGTCAGCGGTGGATTAGGAAAAAATTCAAACCATTTTTGGCACCATGTTACTAAATAAATATTTTCACCATACTTAAAAACATACTAAACATAATTTTAAAAACTGAATAATGATTTTAAATTATAACTAAACTGATTAAAAACTAGACAAATTTTTAGTGACGGTCAAATAAAATATTTTTTAATCCAACATTCAATTCACTATTTTAAATGAACAGGCTGTAGTCAACAGGTCTTTTTATAATAATAAAAAAATCTGGATCAAAAATGAAAATTTTTGATTTTATGTTAAAATGTGTTTTATGTATCAAACACTACACAGTAAAAACCAATGATAGTCATTGTGAAATTAGTTAATCATTGTAGTTGCTACGTCTATAGTCACTTAGTCATATTTTTACTGTGTAGTGTTTGGCACATAGAACTACAACACATTTTAACTTTTTAACCAAAAATTTCCATTTTGTATTTTATATTCAGTCTTAAACAGCTCATGAGCTCATTTAGTGCATCAAGTCAATGGATAATCATGATGATTTCTGATGAGTCTTTATAGATGAAACACAGTGTTAAATGAAAAAAGTTTTTGCTAAGTAATTTTCTACTACTTATATAAATATATAAATATAAATATAAATATAAATATATATATATATATATATATATATATATATATATATATATATATATATATATATATATATATATATATAATTTAAAAATATGAGTTCAACTCCCACCACGTCCCTGGTAGTACCACGCTCAACTTAATTTCTCCACGCAGCGGTCTTGCTTGTCAAGGTTTGTGTTTTGGAGTTAAAGAGTTGAGAGAGGGTTTTACCACAATTTACAACAACAACAAAAAAAAAAAAAAAAAAAAAAAAAATAAAAATGAGTAGCCTCCTTCACTGTAGTAGTCTCCTCGGGCCTTGGGGAGGTGAATAATTAATATATATATATATATATATATATATATATATATATATATATATATATATATATATATATATATATATATATATATATATATACATGTATATATATGGAAATCACAAAAATCACAATGAAAGACAACATTTTTCTGGTAAACTATGATAACTTTAAAAAATTGGTATAAAAATTATTGAAAAGTTTAGAGTTGTGATGAAAAAAACCCAGAATTTCAGAAGAAAATATTCAATAAGTGTGAAAGTTAAATTATAAGTGACGAACTTATAATTTAACTTTCAAATTTAACACTTGACCACTTTTTTTGAAAAAAATAATTGCCTATTACTTTATTTAATTTGAGCTATAGAAATCTTGATTAATCCTTAGTTTATCAAAAATGTGTTTACACAATTTGTACAAAAAAATATTACATAGAAGTGTTGCTGCAACTTCAAAGCAAACCAGCTGATTGTTAGGAAACAATTTAATGATCGGAAAAATCATCATAGGAAGATACTCTGTTTCACCAAATATTGGTGACCAGTATGCTAGTGCTGATAAGACTCTTGAATAAAAAATATTAAACAATATTAAAAGATTAATTAAAAGAATTAAACAGAAATATACACACATAACATAATAAAATGCTTTAAAATACACTAAAAAATACACAAACAAAAAAATTGTCTAAACTCAGCTATAATACAACCAATAGTATAATCTGAAGTACATGGACACTGAAAAATTCACTTTTAATAAGTGTGCTGGGGCTAATATTAAAATAGGTAATGCTGCCATTTAATTTACATCAACTCTCTTAAAAAAATTAAGACAATTAAAGTTAATCAATAATACCGAAAAACTTTACCATATTTATGCAATCATATTCTATAGCATTAACAGCAAAATTACATACATTACATTACATGTATGCATTATGATGAAACACTAGGTAATGTCATATCATTTTCAGTTTGTCAACTAAAATCAACCTATTGTTCTGGAGTTCAAATTTATTATAAAGATTGCATTTCGCATATTACATAGTTCATAATACATAATTAATGATATCCATAGTGTTAGACAAAGAAAGTCAAAAATCAATTTGGTAACTTTAGGCATTTGCATGAAAACAACTGAAACAGTTTCTATCAGCAACATTTTAGTGCACCTTATATTTAGTGCAAATAAATTTTGTTTCAGAAGTACACCTCTTTTTTTTGAATTGTACAGCATTATTGACATTACTGCATAATCAATAGGCCAACAAGATTTTAACACTGTGTAATTGTTGATGTACAGATGGTCTGATACTTTGCCTTTTTGCTGGTTCTACTTCAGGACTGCTGTACTGCTGCTACTATCATTGTTACTGGCAGACAAATAAGCTTAAAAATATTGGTTAACCCTCTTCCACTATGAGAAAGATATTTATCTTTTGACAGCTAATTCACAGATTTTAAAACCTGGATTTTCACAATGGTTCCAGTTACATTAATATTTTTAGTTTAATGTTTGCACCAGGTGGTAATCTTTCCGCGAGCAATGACTAATCGACCACTGCAAATACAATTTAGCAAAAGACTAACTTCTTAAACTCAGTCATTGTTTTCATCTGCTGCTACATCATTGTCAAATTTGGTATAATTGCATATGTAAAATAACTTCTGCAACAGAAGGAAGTATAACAAGTCTTTTGCCAGGACAAATCTATTTTGGGATATGAAAAGCATTACATAATAACACTTGCACCAAAATGTTAAACTTCAATGGCAGTTGTGTTGAGGCTTTGCATGTCAAACACATAGTTTTTTAAAGACTTGTGCATAAAAAGATAAGTTCAAATAATTTTCTGTTATTGTACTAATTTATCCAATCAAACCAGTCAAACTGCTACAAAAAGTACAGAAAATACAGAAAGTAGATACAGTATGCCCAAAATACAAAAAATGATAAAAAAAAGAAAATAAAAATAATTATAAAATAATTCATAAAAAAAAGAAAGAGACCAAAATGAATATGCAACATAATAAAAAAACAATTACAATTGTGAATGAAGTTCGCAGACTTCTGTTCAACATAAAAAGAGTGCACTTCAATTGTTGAAGTGCACTCTTATTAACTGTTAACAAAATAACACTTAATGATTATGAATTACACATTAAAATGATGAGCTAGTTGTTTTGAACAATTTCACAATCTGATTATTATATAATGTCAATTATAAAAAAAATATTTTTATTTCTTCTATTTTAAGATTAGACCATATTCATATTGATGAAGGCCATTTTGAAACAGTTTGGTCAAAATATAAATTTTTTTAATCCCCAGATGTAAGCACATAACATAACAACTAAATAGTGAGTTAATGTAATTAATAATATCTACAGCAGCTTGAGTTCCTATGTCCAACAATCAGGACAAATGATATATATATATATATATATATATATATATATATATATATATATATATATATATATATATATATATATATATATATATATAAAATATATATATACATTAAATTTGCAATTTCAGACTTCCAAGTACATCAATTCAGAAGTTATAACCTTAGAAACATGACATAAGTGGCCCTCCTTGATTTACAAATGGTCAAAACAGATAACTTTAGTGCTGTATAACTTTTTTCTCACTTTCAACAAATGTCTCATTTTTTCTGGAACTTTTTTCTGGATAGTTCTCTTTTTAAAAAACTGGTTTTTATTAAGTTGTAATAAATTAGAGAAAAATTATGACCTCCTAAACTTTAAAAAAAGTCCTAAAATTTGCCAAAATAAAACTAGGTGTAGCATTTTTCTATTCATAAACAAGACTTTACAGATAAGTTTTCTGATTAGCTATACTGTCTGCAATAAATGGGCAAAATACAGGCAACTTGTTGCAGTTTTGAAATCAAATTTATCTAAAAGCAAAATGTCCATTTGCCTAAAAAGTCCAACTTTCAGCCATTTTGAGATACTTGTAAATTTTTCTAACAGTTTTTTTTATCTAAGAAAAACAGTATATATAAGGCCATTAGACCCAACTTTCTGAAAATGCAAACATAAACTTGTCAAATTCACACCAAAAATGCCAGCATTTTTAAATAACAAAAAAAATTATTCTTTGTGGCTGGTGAGCCCCGAATTTTTCTAATGTACACCACAATGACAAAAGGAACATTAGGCTATCCTGCTGGATGTGGTTACGGTGATCAATAACCTAATTTTTTTGTATTACTATTAACTTTTTGAAGGTGTAACATAACATTTTAAGAAGTAAACTAATTTTTGACTCTCATTTTTACAAAGTCACTTCTGGCATTCCAACCAAAACAGCTCCACACCTTAACTCTACATCCACTTTGTTTTACAACCATTACTACGCACTATTTTATCATACATTCAACGATTTTTTTTAAAAATAAACAATTTTATCTTGAAACCAAGTAAATAAAACAAAAGTAGCAATAAAAATTATACTTTCTAAGAAATAAATTTGCTGCCACATACAGAATATCAAAAGTGTGCTAAAGTAATGTCAATAATTCATGGTGAGAGACATGAATGAGAAATGTATTGGGTGAAGCCAAGAGCAGCTCATCATACTTTACAGAATTCATTTTTTATTTTGTAAAGATATTAACTTTCATTTCTTAAGTAATATGCAAATTTAATGCACTTTTATAGTTTGAAAACTCAGTTCATCAGCGTAACTTATAATAATTTTGAACTATGACATGACTTTACAAACCATCATAAATATGATTAATAAGTGGCAAATGCAGCTTTAAAAGCAAGAAAAAAGCTAAAGATAGTTAAATGAAGAATGCAGTGTATTGTTTTTTCTATTTTTAAATTGATTTCATAATCAAAACTAATTTACTTTAGTAACACTGAATTCCTTAAACATCAGTTTGAAATAGACTACTTAAATTTTTTTTTTTTTTTTATCAACATTGAAAAATTAACACCACTTGTTAACAAGTCATAGAATAGCTTATAAAAATCACTTCAAATTTTACAAAGAACATTGAGATAGGGCTGTTGAAAAAAAAAAAACCTTGGGTTTTTTCTAAAAACATGTCATGCTTTTAGTACAAGTGATGCAGTTTGCAGCGCACATAGTTATTATTTCCTAACCACTAAATTTTTACTTCAATCCCACAAACGTTGTATCTTCTGTTAAGTAATGTCTAAAAATTAAGATTAGGGATGCAATTACTGCCCACCGTTCTTCTAAATGAGCAATAAGTGTCAACTCAAATTCCAAAGAAACCACAATATGCCTGTGAAAGTTTATGACTCCTGGATTCCAAAAATATAAAAAATCAAATCATCCTATTACGTCCGAGAAAGAAAATCACTTTTGAAAATTTTTATTTTGCACATATTCATGAAATGACAGCATTCTCGAAATTTTACATTTTTACAGCATATCTTAACATTCAAAAAGCTTTTTGAAAATAATAAAACCTACTTAACATAATAAAGAAACAAAAAATACGAAAATGTGAAAGATTTTATGTTATAAAATTGGTAGTAATCCAAATAGGTAAAAGATCACTTGGGTAAAATATTGCTTTTCTGAAAGTTTTTTCTAATAAGTTAACTCTAGAATAATTTCAATAATAGTTAGGTAGTAATCCAAATAGGTAATAGATCATGTGGGTAAATACAAAAGAAATATTAAAATAAATTCCACATTTAAAGCAACAACATTCTTGACAAAAAAAATTCTTTACAAATTCCAAACTGTTCACAGACTTTTGCTGTTAAAATCAACTAGGCACATTTCTAGCCTTTTTCCATAATCTGGATGGCTGATAGGTCGTTTATATCATTGCTAATGGTTCTGAAAAAGATGATGAATAGATTTTGTTGCTTGCTCACTGTAGATTCCAAGAGGAGACCTTGTTTTTTGGATGAAGTCCTTAACATGGAAAAACACTGCATGTACTTTTGGAGTGATGCTTCCTCTTGGCAATGCCAAATATTAATCTCTGAATGAATCAATTTTTTCTGCATAAGTGCAATCCAACTTGTTGCCAAAACATGCAGAAACAATGGGACCAAACTTTCGAAAGCTGTCAATGATGCTGAAAACTTGAAAGGCACTGTCATTTTCAGACAGTATTTGGAGAAGGTCGAGATTTTTGAGGAGCTTGTGGCAATCATTCCCAGCAAATTGACCACCATGAAAAGGTTGGGGCTAAATGTGCAAAGCTTGGAGCCATTCAGCTGATTTGGGCCAATCTTGAACAGATGGTTAACAACCCCAAGCAGTAGATGAAGCTCCATTGGTGGAATGAGATCAAGCACAAGTGCATCATCATCAAGTGAGAGAATAGGGTCATGAATCACGTTTCCAAACAATTTTGCTTTCTTGATGTCGGATCCAGCTGCTGTTAAGGTTTTGTGTGCTTGCTTCAAAGATCTAAAAGTCCTCAGAGTACCCCGGTTTGCAAGGTTAGAGCTTTCCACAGTCCACCATGTGCATGGATGAGCTGAAGCATGTGATTGCAATCCACAAATTATATTTGCCAACTTCATATCACACGAGACAACAAAGTTGATTTCACTGATTGAAATGAGAGAAAGAATGAGCTTTACATTGGAGTAATTCTCTTGAACTCCTTCAGCAACTGCAACCAGAAGTTGCTGTTTTACTCCAGAATCCTTGGACGTTGAAGATGTCAGAAATCTTTTGTTTGGCGAAGACACAGCTTCACTATCTGCTTCATTTTGTAGAACTCCAAGGCAGACTTTAAGAAAACCTCCACCACCATCTATTCCAAGTTTAATGATGTGTTTTGAGAAGACCTTCCTTGAAAGTAGAACTTCTTCAGTGAGTGCTTGGAGATTTTTGCAATGGACAACAACACTTTGAGACTTTTTTGATCTGAACTAATGAATGTTGTTGGGGTTTCTGTAAAGTGTTCTTCTAGACTTTTTCCGAGATCCTGGAACTTGTGCAATATATTTGGTTCCAGAACTTTGGCAGACGAAACATGCCTAATGGCGGAAGTCAGTTTTTTTATTGCACTGTTTGACAATCCTGTATTTAGTTGAACTGGAGCAAGATCAATTGCAGTGACTACAGCTGTATCTTTGAACAACTGCTTAGAGCAAGAAGGACCTGTTAAAGAGTAAAATATAATATTTCATTTACTTAAATGTGATGGTCGATCTTAATGATATATACAAACCTTGTGTGATTGGGAGCAGTCCTCTTCCTTTTGGCTGCACAAGTCTAATGGTTCCACAAGGAGAAGATTCTTTGCTGACAATTCTTGAGCTGGCAATTTGTTCTTCCACAATTTCATCAGATTTTGCAAGCTCCCTTAAGTTTTCACGGAACTGTGATGAAGAGCAAAGATGGGGTAAACCTCGACCAATAAGAGAGAGACATGTAGAACATCTTCTGTCTGATGTTTTCTCTCCAGTTTTTGTTCTTTCAAGAGGGTGTTTCTCTGTCAGTTTAAGTCCCCCTATGTCACAAATCAAGCATTCACAAGCTTGACCACATGTGAGAACTTTTATATCAATGGTTTCAAATTGAAACAGCTTGGGCAAAACAACCTTCTGCCCTTGATCACACTTTCCAAGGGCCAGTCTACACGGATCACAAAGACCTTGAGAAATTCTTGGATCATCAAAGTTGAACTGCTTTTTGTAGTTGTTTTGAATTTTGCTGACCAAAAATGGTGTCAATTCACGATTTCCTTTTCTAAGACACATGATACAAACAACTTTTCTGTTCTCATCATGGCTTCTTGCATGATTAGGCATTTTCAATTTATTTCAGGAAAAAAGGTTAAAAAATCGACCTTCAAAAGCTTTGATTTGTAGTAAACTGCCTTTTCCCGGAATTTTTTTGGTAAATTCTTAAAAATATTTTTTAACTGCCTTTTCCCGGAATTTTTTGGTAAATTCTTAAAAATAATTACAAATTACCAATATTATTCAAAAAGTGCTAATTAAAAAAAACTATTATTGAAATTATTCTAGTTAACTTATTAGAAAAAACTTTCAGAAAAGTAATATTTTACCCAAGTGATCATTTACCTATTTGGATTACTACCAATTTTATAACATAAAATCTTTCACATTTTCGTATTTTTTGTTTCTTTATTATGTTAAGTAGGTTTTATTATTTTCAAAGAGCTTTTTGAATGTTAAGATATGCTGTAAAAATGCAAAAAATTTCGGGAATGCTGTCATTTCATGTATATGTGCAAAATAAAAATTTTCAAAAGTAATTTTCTTTCTCGGACGTAATAGGATGATTTGATTTTTTATATTTTTTGGAATCCGGGAGTCATAAGCTTTCACAGGCATATTGTGGTTTCTTTGGAATTTGAGTTGACACTTATTGCTCATTTAGGAGAACGGTGTGCCAACAGTCATCCTGGTTTATAATTTTTACATTATAAGAGTATGTCAAATTTGCAAACTAATCAGAATCTTTTAGAAAAACAATCTTTTCCATTGAAAATCACAGCTTTTTAGTTTTAAACTAAAAAAGCTGTAATTTTCCATTCATGAGAAAACAATGTGTTATCAGAAAAAAAAATACTAACACATAGCTAAAAAAAAAAAAGATAATAGTAGTCTAAGTAATATATATATATATATATATATATATATATATATATATATATATATATATATATATATATATATATATATATAAATATATATACATACTGGTCTCGGCAGGAAGCGAGAGCTTTTTTCCGCTCTTGCGCTTATATACTCCCGCCGAGGCCTATATATATACATATATGTATATACATAGATACATATATATATATATATATATATATATATATATATATATATATATATATATATATATATATATATATATATATATATATATATATATATATATATCAAATTAAACAAATACCTGATAATATAAAAATGTTATAACATAATAGTTTTAATAAAACAATAAAATAAAAATACTATTACAAAATAAAAATACTGTTAAACTATTTAATGTTGTTTTATGAAAACGATTGATCTTACTTTTATTATTATAAAAATTCATTTCTATTCTTTGAGAATAAAATAATTGTAAAAAATAAATATAAAAATTTTGTCGATGAATTATAATAACAACTGGGAGAGCAACAAATCTTTTAAAAAGACTTTTACAATTAAAGTTTTAATAAATGAGTTGGATACTTGTAAAGTTTAGATAATTTACTTGTAGGCGTTTTACTTTGTGTGTTTTTTCTGTCCTATGTTTGTTTCATTTTGTTTCATTAATCTTGAGTGAACTCATTAAACTTAAATATTTAATAATAATATTTGTTAAATATTATTGCAACACAAGTATATATTCTGTCTGCTTTTTAACATACTAACTATTTACCTTATAAAATAACAGTTGGAGTTGTTACAATTATATGGAGTTGTTATTGTTATCGTATATAAGTAAATTTTTTCTTTAGCACATGCTAAATTATTTTTTTTCACTTTTTTATTTAAAAAAGAAAGAGTTTTAAACTTAAAGTTTGCCATCCATGTTTAAATTACATCATATCAGAAGATTTAATAGAATAACTAAATAAAAATATTATGATATTTAACATTTTTTTTCAAAATAGTTTATATTTTGCATAGGATTTATTTTGCCTGTGTAAACTGATTTACATGGGTGTGGAGGCAGACAAGGGGAGCCTGCCATTTCTGGTATTTTTATTCTCGAAATGTTTTATAATACAATTATTACATTTTCAAAAGATTCAATTTTACATCAAAACTCAAATATAACAACAAATATTTATAATAGAAGACTTTACAGAGAAATACAAACAGGCAAAAAATATACATAATAAACCCATAAAAATGATTACAAAATGACTCAATAAATAACCAATCATTATAATCAAAATGAAATAAACTGTCATTTTAATTAAATAGATAAGATGACATAATAGCTATCCAGGGAATGTGGATGACATAATATCTTTAAAAAAACAAAATATAATATGAAGCCCTAGAATTTTTCAATCATATTAATAAACAAAATTAAAATTTAAAATTTACAATAGAAAAAGAACTAGAAAAAAAGATTGCCTTTTGTATTTATTAAAATATCCACCAAGTGACCAGTATAAGAATTTCATTAAAAAGTATATTAAAATAGCTGTAAAAAAAACAACAACCATTAACCATAGAGTTTTCATAGTTTTTAAAAAGCCATTTAAATTTTTAGTTTTATAGATATAATTGATAAGTTTTTAAAAATAAAATATAACCTATGGCTTTAAAAATAAAATTAATAAAACTTAAAGTGATAATAATAGGCACACTCATATTAATAACTTTAAATCTTTTTTATGAACAGTGTAAAAACATTTTCTTAAATATTTAAATTTAATAACATAATTCAAGTTTAATTCAAGTCTTTTTTTATTATTACCAGCACTCTTACTTATTCTGTTCAATTTTTAAACTTTTTAAATTAGAAAAAAAAAAATGTAATAAATGTACTTTTTATATATCAAAATAAAAGAAATGCAACTATAATAATATTTATAAAACAAGTAATGGTTTTGATAAAAAAGCAATATATAAATATATACAAAATTAGAGTAATTAAATATAATTAAATTATTTAATTATACATATATATATATATATATATATATATATATATATATATATATATATATATATATATATATATATATATATATATATATATATATGTATAATTTTTCACTTATGGGGACAGATTTTACAAAAAAACAAACACTTATGGGGACATTAGCATTATTGGGAATATTTTAGTGTTAATTTTACCTGTTAATTTTTTATCCCCGTAAACATTACTTTTTTTTGTAAAAAAATGTACTAATAAGAAACTATTATAGAGAATGAAAAGTATATACATCGACTATCAAATAGCCTGACTCGCAAGGGAGTACTGCTACATCGATTGAGAGTTTGGTTAGGCCAGGCATTAAGGTCAGGCTTAGAGTTAGGGTTAAGGCAAGGTTTAAATTTGGTTATATTATTGTAATTAATCATTTTTATAAATAGATGAAATTAAAAATATAATATATAATATAAAATAAATAAAAATAACAAAAATTAAAATAAAAAATATATTTTTGTTTAAAAATAATAAATTTAAATATGTATAAATAAAAATAGAAATAAAATAAAAGTTTAAAAAATATATAAATATGATAAAAATAGTATAAAAAAGTAAAAAACAAAAACAGAACAGGAACAAAAAAACATGTCCCCAAAAGTTGCAACTAGGATGCTATGTATATATATATATATATATATATATATATATATATATAAATAAAAATATATATATATATATTTATAATTAAATATATATATATATTTATAATTAAATATATATATATTTATAATTAAATGTAATTGAAGTACAAAAACAAAACAAAAAAACAATTAAAAAACTAACTTTTGCAACATTCTTAATAGCTTCTGACTTTTAATTGGAAAATTCTCACCAATATTAACGAAAGATGAGTGTATTCCTTTTTTAGCTAACATATCAAATGCAATATGGTTTTCTGGCAAACGAAGAATAGTCTTCCAGATAAACAATCTTTTATAAAGAAAAATATCAGAAATCAAGTTTAGAAGTAGTCACATTATGCATCATTAATAGTAAAACCACACAGTAGTCTTAAACCAAGCAAAGGCTTGATAGAAAATGTTACTGAAAACAATTTATTAACTTATTTTTTACAAAATAATATTTATTAATTCAGCGCTCGAAATAATTATTTAGAGGTTGCCAATCAACACTGATCTGCTGAAATGATAAAAACTAAAAAGTAGACAATCAAAAAATTTTCTTGACGATCAAACTTTTTTTTAGTTTGTAATACAAACTAAAAAAAAATTTGATTGTCCGGAACCTTTGATACAAACTTTGTATCAAATTTTATAATTGTAGTAATTTTTGCTTCACACTTTTAATGTTTGTACTTGACAATTTCCACTTTGTTTAAAATTCCCAAACAATAAAAATAAAAACTTATACTGGACCTTGTTTTAAAGAGTCACATATAAATACTAACATGCTTTTTAAACGACTTTTGCTATAAATGCACTTTAGCACACCCTTAAAAAAAAAGAAAAGCCGGACAGTTGTTTGGCTTAAGTATATAAAATTTTATGATAAGTTGTTTGGCATATCCTAACTTATGATAAAAATTAACAAATAAGAAATTAAGTTGATCAAGTTAATTTTTGATTCATCATTTGATTATGCAAAACCTTATTATAAACAAAAAAAATTATTTTTTTATCACCTTTAGGTATTTTTTAGTGCATTATTAGATTGTCATTAACTTTAAGAGTTTTGTTATAAATATCTCGTCGATTTATGATTATTTTTTTATATTTATATTACAAAATATTTTTGTTATACTTATAATATAAATATTTTAATTATATTTATAATATAAAATATACTTTTTACATTCATTTAGTTTAAACTAAACGACTGTTTGCAACAATATAAACAATTATTTAGTAAAAACATTTAAAATTGACAAAAACACAAAAATTAGATCAAAGTTATCATTTATTCAAAACTTTTAAAATTCAAAGTTTATTTGAAATTGAAAAAAACACGCAATTTAGATCAAGTATCATTCATTCAAAGTTTAATTGCAAAAATGTTTTTCATTGCGTTTTTTTTGCAAAAAAACGCAATGAAAAAGCTATTCGAGTATTAATCGAACTTTTTTGGTTTTGGTTACCAAAAAGAATTGATAATTAAAAAAAAACGATAGAATAAATATTTGGAATTTTTAAGAAAACATTTTTTGAAACTTAAACGCAAGAAAATTTATTTGAAAAACAAATAAAATGTTTGTAATTTGTAACTTTCTTTTGTAAACTTTTACTTATTCTTTGCGGGTGTTTCAGATCCTGATTTCCTTTTAGAAGAAACAATTTTCTGTTGTTTTTTTCCGCATCCATTTTATGATTATTTTTATACTTTTTACATAATTTTATATTTTTACATTATTTTATTTACAATACTTCTAAAACTTATTTTCTAAACATTTTAAACAAAAACAATTTTATTTTGCTTAAAGCAAATTGATGTTATGATGTATAAATTATGATGTTTTATGAAGTCAATATTCTTTCTACCAATCATAAACTCGCATTATTTACTATTTTTCAAAAATTTTCACATAAAACTTTATTGTTTCTAGATAATAATGCAAATTCATTAAAAAACTCATTCATTAAAAAAAAATTTGATTCACTAAAAAAAATTCAATTCATTCAAAAATGTTAATTAACGAGTAATAAACTTTTTGTTCATAAAATTTTTGTAATACCTTTTTAACCGATTTTTACTTTTAACGTTTTTGTGTCGATGTTATTACTTTTGTCTTTCAAAGGTTTTTGGTGACGTTTGTTTTAGAATATTTTTGAATTTTTTAATATAAAGTTGTCTTGCCAATCAAATTTGATCGTCGAGAATTGATTTTGGGAGATCAAAATATCATTTTTTCTAAAAATAAATGATCATTGATCGGGTGCTATTTCAAGCGCTGTTAATTTTAATTATTTTTTAAATTATTTTTAGGTATTTTAATTAAAGTAATAGCTTAATAATTTTAAAAAAAATTATATAATATTTGTATTTATAAAATAAATTTTAAATCGGTCTTATAAACTATAAATATAATTTTTTATTTAATTTTTATTTTTGTTTGTTCAGTATATCTATACTTTTTATATCATATCAGTATGCATACTGCAGTATGGAATAGGCGTAAGTCGCGGGTTAAAGCATAAGTGGCAATGACGTTTGTCTGACGGGATAAACTAGTTATAAATGCTGATCCTCATCGAAACGCCAGTAATAATAGATGCGACTCTGAGGAGATGTTTATTACTTAATCACTACACAAATTATGTTTACACATTAGCATTAATGTTTTTTTTTTTCCATTATTAAATGCCTTTCATTGTTGTTATCATATTTTTTATTTTGTGATCGGTCTTTTGTTTTTTAAGTTTTTGTCTGGTGATGTATATCTTCGTTCATATTGGTGTTTAGAAAACAATTTTTTTTTTTTTTAATTTATTTTTATTGTTATTATTGTTGTGGGTGTATAGCCTGTCTTATTTTTTTTTAAATATTCCTCTATTAATCTTTATTTTTGTCTTGACAACTGTCAAAATATGCTTTGTCTAATAAATAATTCTCCTTTATTCTAATGTACTTCATTTCTTCCCTCAGGTGTTCACTGCTCGTGTGTGACCATTCCGCGAATTTTATATGCCAAAATTTTTAAATAATATTGGGCATAGACCGTAAGGGTTAGTGTTACGGTCATCGAGCACGACTATTTTCCTATTCGCAATTACTGCTTTTTAGTCATAAGTCAGTTCTAAATCCATGCATAGGGGATTAATCCATCATGGTTTTCTGGAGTATGGCTGGGCTGGCTTGGTTTGGTTCAGAGACAAATCTTTTACGCTGGTTACTAATAATACAAGACTCTATTGAACGACATAAACAGCACAGACTTATACATTACACCTATACACCCTTATGCACATACAGCCTGTTTACATTGTTTGCATGCTTTTTGTTCTATCATAGATAATCTTTGTTTGAATTCATCCTTATTTAAATAGTATTTTCTTTTAATAGATAATATGTGGTTGAAATGTTGATTTAGATTTGTATGTTATCTATATGTGTTTATCATGTGTGATTGAGTTTTTTATTTAAGGATTCATATGTGTATATATATATGGGCAATTCCGCGAGAGTGGCGGTCGTAACATCTGACGTTCTTTAAGCTATTAAAAATGAACCAAAAATGGAGACAACTTGAAACTTTCCAGAAATGTGGAATACTATTATATAATTTAGTAAGCAAAAGTTGAAGTCTTAAACTTTCTTCAAAAATTAACTCGGCGAAGCGTGACGGTCGTAACGCTTACTTTTTATCGCTTCTAAACAAAACAACTCTGCCAGACTAAATGCAGCGAACGACTGCGTAAAAATAAAAATCATTTGCTGTGTGCATTTAGCACATATTGATGTTATTATATGCAGAGTTTCATAGTTTTTACTTGAACTTTTACAAACATTTCTGTATTTTTTATGTCGTGACGGTCGTAACGAAAAATCTAATTTTAAAAAACAACAAATAAAACGACGCAATCAAAAAAAAAAAGATGAATAATTATAAAAACCATGTAAACTTATATAAACTATGTAAAAGTATGAATTTTATAACATTATCGAAGTTCTCAGTTATGGTTTTTTGATACTGGGTTTGTTTAATTTGGAATAGGCAACCAAAACCTGGCTTTGTACCAAATATTTATTTATACTTTATTACTTTACTAAATTTTTAATGGTTTATGCTCTTAATGCCCCCTGGTCCCAACATAAGCTTATAAAATAGTTCTTTCAGTAAAGAAAAAATATTAATTTTAAAATTGTTAATAAGCCATATTCAGCACCTAACTGCTCTACAATAGTTCGTCTTTTATTTGGAGACTTTGGAAGAGCCCGTTTTGTTCTAAAAATTTTATTCAATATAAAAAAACCCAAATTATGCAAAAGCAATAACATTAAAAAATATAGTTTAATATAATTAAATACTTGTTTAATGCTTTTGTCATTGACGATTTGCAGTTATAAGAATTATCAGGCGTAACATTCAAACTAGTGTTAGCAGTAAATTCAAGTTTTTTTTCATTCTTAACCTTCAGTTATGAACTTTTGCTTGATTTTTTTGCTTGTTTTCTTTTCTTGGTGTTAATAACTAACTCCTTTTATAACTTCTCTTTCTTTCTTTTTCCAACAGCACTTGTCTGTTTCTTGCTCTATAAGCTTTTGATCTTTCAGCATCTGATTTAGGCATTTTAAAAATGTTGTTAAATGCAACAGCTTCCGTTTGAGATTTTCGTTCTGTTATGTTAAAAAAAAACCCGCGAATTTTATAAATAAAAAAACCGCGAAATCTAATGAACAAAAAAGTTGCAGTGCAAACTAGAAACAACGTTTAAACTAAAATAAAGTTTTCTTCATGTTAAGAGTTTTTATTTCTTTACAAATATTAATTTATTTACATCAATTATTTAAAATAAGTGATGTATATTTTAAAAAAGAAATAGGAAAAACTTTAACAAGCTTATCAATATATTGAGTAAACAAACAGAAAATCAAACGAAATTGATTTGTAACTTGGTTTCAATAATAAAATCGTTCTCGCTTAAACTTTTTATTCAAAAGTCAAGAAGCCGTTATGGAAAAACAAGCATATCGTGATGGTTGTAACATACTTTGTTTACATCTTAATACAATCATCTGAAGCTTTTTTTTAAAAAAAAATTGAAACGATGATAAAACTTATATCAGCATATTTACTTTTACTATATTTTTAGTTTTATAAAGTCTAATACGAAGCCTAGAAAAAACTTTTCGACTTTTTTTCGTGACGGTCGTAACGCATTAATTTGATAAACATATTCTTATTCTATACATAGTTGGAGTGCGTTTTTATAAAAAATAATTTACATAATGTCTATTTATGTCTTTAAGTCAAACTTAGAAGTAATAGTTACTTAAAAACGCAGCATTGAAACTTTTTTTAATGCTTCACAATAGGACTATATAAAAACGTCAAAAAACGTTTATATAACCCTTACAACTTCAAAGCCATGCTATGGTATGATAAAATAACTTTTTAAATAACTTTTTTGCTTAAAAGTATTTTTAAATAGTTAAAAAAAGAGTTTATTGAGGTTAGTATGTGTCTTTCTAACTTTTTTTTTTTTTTTTTTTTTTTTCCTCTTTCTCGCGGAATTGCCCATATATATATATATATATATATATATATATATATATATATATATATATATATATATATATATATATATATATATATATATATATATATATATATATATATATATATATATATATAACTTTATTGATGGATATAACTTTATTGATGGATGACGTAAGTTATTGAAATTTTGACCTTTTATGCAGATGAAAATATAAAAAATTTTTAATGTACTTTTTGCTATGTTAGCGAAAATGTTTTCAAGCTTGGCATGTTTAGCAACTTTTTCTAGTTTTTCGCGTAAATTTTTGTTTACGTTATTAAAGCAATGACATAAAACATTAAAACATTTTCTCTAATATTTTTTTTCTCAAAGATTTTGTTTTATGACTTAATTATTTGTTTCAATTAACGTAAAGTTTGAGTAATGTATTTTTTGTTTTTATAATAGTCTAATAATGTTTATATCTTGTATTTTTGTTGATAAAAAGTAACAACAAATTACTAAAGTTCAGCCTATTTCATCATTTGTCGCGTTTTTTCTAAAGTAAAAGAAGTTTTTTTACTATTATATTATACTATTATGTCGTATGATAAAACATTTTATTGTTGTTTTTATTCCTTTTACAAAACAAAATTATTTTTAATATTTCAAAAAATATAAATATTTAAGTAACACCCCTTATGCTCAAATTTTCCAAAAAAAACACAAGAAACCGTAATGCGCACTCTGAAACAGCCGTAGCACAATATGTATATATATATCAGGGGCATCAGGGGCTATTCTAGACCGCTTTTGACATATATATATATAATATTATATATATATATATATATATATATATATATATATATATATATATATATATATATATATATATATATATATATATATATATATATATATATATATATATATATATACATATTTAAACAAACAAAAGATTTTGTGGTGACCTTTTCTTGTTTTAAAACCCCTTTGCACATTATAAAATAACTTACCTGTACTTAGCAGGATATTCACCAAAACCTTTTAAAATTTTCCTTAACTTTTTCATGTCTAAACCCTTTGGTAACTCTCTCTTAAAAAAAATGAAATAAAACTTCAAAAAGATCTAAATCGATTATTTTGCTAGATACTATATTTTACTAATAAGAATATAAAATGTAACAAAATAAAAAAAATAACTTTAAAACAAATAATTTAATACTAACATATAAGCTATCTTCTGTTGCCATAGAAGCATGAGTATTTGAATGACCACTCAAAGCACTTGTTTTCTTTTTTTCTTGTGATGTATTATTTTCTTTTTTCAGCTGCACTTTGCGTATAACAGGTTGTGTATCCTAGAAAAAATAGTTTATGTTAAAAACAATGATGAAAAGAAAAAAAAACATGTTGAAAACAAGGTTAACAAAAGTGAACTTTAAGAACTTTAAATGCACAATAATAATATTGGACCTAATAAAAGTGTTCTTAAAAATGTTAATTTATTTTGCCACACAAATCCTTTCACCTGTTTTTTGAAGTAACAAAATAAGGCATAACTTCTTAATCCAATGCATAAAAAATATTTGTAGATTACAAAAAATATATGCAGATTACAAAAAATATTTGTAGATTACAAAAAATACTTGTAGATTACAAAAAATACTTGTAGATTGCAAAAAATATTTTTAGATTACAAAAATATTTGTAGGTAATACTGAGTGGGACTAACATAAAAAAGCAATATCCTTTTTAATTTGGTATTTAATTATATGACACAGTTTATTTTATTTAAATCAAAAAACTGCACTGAAATATTTTCACAACAATATCAAATATAATACAAATATGATCTAAATGTTCTTCTTATGTACAGAAATATTATATAAATATAAAACAATGCCCTCTTCTGACATTCATCACAGTTGAAAGCCATCCAACTACAAGACCTAAACACTCTAATGACACTATAAGTAAAATATAATATTTATTGAGATGATAAATTTGGTATCACAGTAAATGACTTATTGCAAAAATCAGATTACAAATAACAGGAATTCATTATCATATCTGAAACTATTATAACTGAAAAATTGTCAAGCTTGTAAAATAGCATACTTATTTTTTGAGATAATATGTTAAAATTAGTTTTGAATGTAAAAGAAAAACGTTGATTAAAGTAGAATTTAGAAAATAAAAAATAGTAACAAAAACATTAAAATAAAAATAATTGTTCCTTTTTTTTTCTGTAGAAAGGTTTTTTTGAGGGAAATGTCATATGAAATATGTGACAACATTTTCTTTATGTGACTACTCTAATGCTAGTTTTTCTTGGTATGTCTTTATTCTTTTGTTTTAATCAAAAACATTTAGCTCATATATATATATATATATATATATATATATATATATATATATATATATATATATATATATATATATATATATATATATATATATATATATATATATATATATATGTATACACACAATTTAAATATACTTTATTAACTTAACATTTTAATTAAATTAAAACAAGCATTGTATAAAAAGAAATATAAAACTTATTCAAACTAAACCTTATGAAGATGATTTAATATAATAGATATGTTGTAAAAAAGAATGCTTCCATTTTCTAGTATTGCTGCAACATAACGACCATTTTTACTAAGCGTAAAACTATGTATTTTCTGAAAAAAATATTGCACAATAGTTATTAACATGCAATAGTATATCATTATTATTAAATTTAAATAATTGCCAAATATAAATCAAACCAACAAACCTCTTCCGCTGAACCAACATCTGCTTCAAGTTTACACAAATGCGTATCAATAAACCGAAGAACTCCATCTTGACCAAGTATTGCAAGTAACTAGATGAATAACCAATAGGGCAATTATTAACTAAAAACATTTAATGAAATAAAATTGTTTTTAACACCTTGAAACTAACACAAAAACTTTAAAAATACAGTTAACATACTTGCATTTGATTGACAGAGAGGTTATCATGCACAAACTCTAAATGTTGAACCTCTGTTATTTTTTCTGGCAATTCAATTATTTGAATTAACTGATAGCTATCCAAATTCCATATATAAATGTAACGCGACCTAATAAAAAATATTTACAAAACACTACCAGTTAAAAATTGGTAAAGAGCTTTTATTATTATTTTTTTAAATATTATTCTCCTTCCTACGGCCAAGGAGGCTAGAAGGTTTTTAAGTCAAGAAGACATTTTAGCTTAGCTAGATATTTAGTGAAAAACTTATTAATGAGCTAAGTAATTAACATAATAGTTTCTGAAGAAAATAATTTAATAAAGAAGTAGAAAAATTGTAAAAAAGAGTACAATCATAGTTAGAAGAACAGTTAGACAATCCATTTTCACAAAATATAATTTTAAAAATTTGAAAATGGCCAACTAAGCAGAGGAAACGTTCATTATCTCACATATTAAATATAATAGAACACGATTTTTCAAATCAACAAGCTTCTTAATGATATGGATTCTTACTGAAATTAAGACTCAAGTAATAACACATAAGACCACTAGTGACTCTTCAACAAAAACTAAATGTAAAAAATTGAAGAAAAATAAACCAAACTATAGGTACATTAGATACAATCACATAAAATGTTATTGTGTCTAATACAATACTAAATGAACTACAATGTTATAGTAGTTACTAAATTTTTATGTTACTAAAGTGTTATTGCATCTAACTACAATACTAAATGTGGTCCTCAATCGGAAAAAATAAAGAAAAATCTAATAAAAAATTTTAAAGACAATTTTAATCTTAACATCACTATCAAACCAAACTTAAAAACCGTAAATTTTCTTGATATCACATTTAACCTTTTTGAGAACTCTTTTAAACCTTATAGAAAACTAGGAGATAATCCTTTATATATTAAAATTAACTCTAATCATCCACCAAGCATTATTAAATCGATACCAAAAATGATCTCTAACCGCATCAGCAATATTCATCTTCAAGCAAAGAAGCTTTTGATAGAGCCACACTATTTCATAATAACGCTCTCAATTCTTGTGGATTCAAAGATAAAATCAATTTCATTCCAAATATCCAGAAATATAATACAAAATCTCAAAAAAAAAACATTATCTGGTTCAACCCACCTTATTCACTCAACGTCAGAACAAACGTAGCCAAAACATTTTTGAGTACAATTGATAAATGTTTTTCGAAAGGCCACAAATTTCACAAACTTTTTGAGAGAAAACGTTCAAAGACAGGTGGTATAAGCATAAAAACTCCTTTGTTTATGAAAGTAAGGCCAACTCCACTGAACTTTCGAAATTTGTGTGGGAATGCAAAAATAAAGGTATAGAACCTATATTAAAATGGAATATTCTTGATCAAGCAAAGCCATTCAAACCTGGTGGTAAATTTTGCAATTTATGATTGACAGAAAAATACCACATTATTACGTCACTATTAAATTTGCTTAACAAACAAACCTAGCTTGCGTCAAAATGCCGCCATGAAAATAAATTTCTAATAAAGAACTTTAATGTCATCAACGCAGACACTCCATAGCATTTTTTGTATATAATTTTTGTCGTCACTTTTTTGTTGTTGTTACATCTGATGATCGCTATTGCGTGAAACTTTTAGTTATGTAATTGAAATATATCTAAACAATTGTTTATTTTTCACTATATTTGCTCTACTAATTATATAACACGGTGTATTGAGCACTCTTACTAGAAATATTAACATAATTCCTACAATATATATATATATATCAGGCCTTGTGATGAATAAAACTGCGCGACGCATAAGCACAACGTGATTTTTGACTTCATTAAATTCTTTTTATTT